GTTGCATTTGGTTGCAATTTGGGGTTGGCGCCTGGTTTTGAGATGAATCTGCAGCATTATTCTCATCTGTAAGCGTCTCACTCTTACTCATCTCTTTCTCTCTCTCTCTCTCTCTCTCTCTCCAGCTCTCTCTTTAGCCCTCTCTCTCTCATTTCAGCACATCTCCTTCTGTGCTCCCCCACTATCTGTTTACTTAGTCACATGATACTAATCTACCTTATTAACTGTATTTCTGAGGTTTAATCCGCTCTTCTCACGTGATTCTCGGTGCGTTTATTTGATATGTAAACAGCATGAAGCTTTGTGTCACAAACTACTTTTATGAACTAGAAAATATATGAACAGAAATATAAGTCACACATCAGTCATGCTTGACCATTACTCTGATTAAACATAACAATAATAAGAGAGAGAGCTGCACTGAATTTTCCTGATTCAAATGTGTACTAAAACAAACTGAAATATTAACACAGTTAATGTCAAAACTGAGAGACAGGCTTGTGTTGTTGTATAATCTCCATAGAAAAGCAGCGCCGCACATGAGCCTAAGGTCACCATACCCAAACCTAGAACTGATTTAAAGCTCCCCAGCATTGGTCTGTGGAGCAGTGGAACTCCTCTGGAGTGATGGAGCTCCATCCATTAGTTTTGGGAGAAGTTGGGATCCAGAACTGATCATCTAACATTATTACCTGACCTCACTAATGCTCTCGTGGCCGAACGCAATCAAATCCTCACAGTAATGTTCCAACATCTAGTGTAAAGCCTTCCTAGAAGAGTAGAGGCCGTTACTGCAGGAAAGGGGGACAAATTCACTATTAATACCCTTGATTCCAGAAGAAACGCTGGATGTTCAGATGTCCACAAACTTTTGGACACACAGCACACATTCAGTTCAGTTTATTTGCATAGAGCCTTTTACAGCAGACGTTGTCACAAAAACGTGTTTAAACAGGCTGACTCCTCTGTCAGAGAATTCGACAAAGATTGATGCAACATCTGACGCTCTGCATGAAGATTATATCTTTGCGGCACTGTGTATTGTCCTGCACACAATACAGACGGTGTAGCAAATAGCTTCCTCCAATTTAAACAGATCCTCGTGGCCATCCGGCACGTGATAATCACACACTGAGAGTCAGACTGAGAATTATCGAGCGAATGCTGAAATAAAGTCAGGCGGTCTTTGACCGGCTGTCTTTGTGGCAGGGAAGCACACGGGTGGTTGCTATAGAAATACCTTAACAAGCACTTTTCCAGCCTATAGCTGCGAACGCTGGCCAGGCCAACAGCTCTCATCTCTGCTGGAGTCCAGAGATTAAACCCTAGACTGTCTGGAGGTTCAAACAAGCATCTTACACAGGCCTGATACCTTTATTATCATTAGTCCTAAGTGGTTTCCAGGCTTGTCTTATCCATTTTGTCACCTCACTTGCCCCATATGATATACAGCACCCTGTTTATTAAATTATATTATGATAAGAGGCCTCTCTCGTCTAGAGTCCACTTTTCATCTGTTTTGTCAGGAGGTTTGGAGAATGGCTTGGTTTGATGCAAGTTGTTACGTTGTCGATTTAACTTTACTGTGCGGGTCACATGCAATTTCATAATTAGTAAGGGTGAAAAGATAAAAAAATTCACTTCACTACGATTTAATACGTTGGTGCTCAGTTATATTATTTTTTTGGTACAGCAAAAATAAACAATGGGGTGTAAATGTGCCTTAAATTAATATGTTATGGATTCTTTTTCAGTTTATTAGAGAATTCCACATTTATAAAAAAGTACAATACAAGGAAATATAATTTTATATGCTATGCAGCAATACAATTCGATACAATGCGATATATTGTATTTTTGGATCAATGATAATTACATATTTTGCGATAGAGGATTTACATCAGATTTATGTTCTGTACAAAAAAATTGTTAGATATTAATTATTAATTTATTATTAAATAAAAGTTAATAATTTTTTTACTGCAACATAAGACTGCTTACACAATAACTTTTCATTAAATTGAAATCATAATAAAATGTCTTCCATTTTGAAACACAACTGTGGTTTGCCATGAATTGGTTCATTGTAGAGAAACTTACAGACTCAGATTTCTTTACAGTGGTGGTGATAGGAACCAGGGGTCACCATGTCTACAACACAAATATAGCCATTTTATGTACTATCCAAATCCACCAGTTACCCTGACCACGTCTTCTGAGTTTTTATATGTAATGCTGACGATGGTAAAATAATAGTAAATCAGAAAAAATGTTTTTTTTTGGGGACTATTTTGTCTCACAATGCCTTGCATGTACCTTTCCAATATAAATGGGTATATAAAAACAAGCATTAGACCAAAACCTCACCTTAAAACTATTGTAAAAAGTATTTGGCATCAGTCAACATATCTGGTACTATTTCCTGTAATAACTTTCTGTGAGGGAGCATTTAGAGACATTAAATCCCTCACACGTTTGGTTCCTATCACCACCACTGTGAACAAGTATGATTCTAATGTTCTCAAGGATGTAGCATTTCACACCAAACCACACTGAATGAATTTGTTTATATCTCAGTGCTTTAATTATGCAGAAATTGTGTGAATTCCCCTAAGAATCTGCACTTCTGGCAGAATTTTTCAGCTTGTTTCAGTGAACAATGTACGAAAATCAATATTGAACTAGACTATGCTTTTGTTGTTGTTGGTGATGAATGCAGTTCCAAAAAGGTTAAATAAAATTCTAATGTATTTCAAGAAGAACATCAGTTTTTTAAGATTACACAATTGCCATCTACCTTTCTTGCATTCATAGTGCTTTGGTTATGCTGAAGGCTTTGAGGAGATTTCTTTCAAAGAATTGCGTAACTAGTTATTAACAGGGGAATCACACAAACAACACAAATCACAGAGATTTCCTTCTTTCTTAAAAAGATAGGTCAAGTTTGTTGCTGGAAAGACGGCTTTCCCGAGCAAAGCTGCTTAAGGCTTGAGAAGTCGTTTCTCTGCCCAGCAAGAAGCTGAGCGCTCAGAGCGGCGTGTGTTCGGCAGGTCAAATTGAAATGTGCAGGATAAGGTGAACCCCATGCCAGGAACAGCTGGAACAGGCATTCACACCTGGCCTACTTCAACCTCCACGCCAAAAACCAGACTTTCCCTTCAGACGCATTACAAAAGCAGCCCTGCTTAGCCGTTCGGTTCACAACATCCTCCTGCTGGTTATATAAGGCCAGGTTTAGAGGTTCCCTTTGTTTGTAACATGCACTAGATATAAGGAATATAGTGGAAACTCCTTAAAAAATAATTGGTTTGTTAAATGTGTAGTTTTTCATCTGTGGTGAATTGAAGTACTGTTTTTATTCTTATGTATCTTAATAGTGCTGTAACATCAAGTAGCCAGAGGTAGTTAGATACAAGTGTGAGGCTACTTCATTAGGATTTTTCATCGATAGGCAGTAGGCAGATAGGGTCAAAGCACCAAAAGACTCCATTCATATCCATAATCCATAATCATTATCCAGGAAAGAGGGTAGAAAACCCTGAACACAGAAATAAAGAACCAACAAACAAAGAAGCAGAGCAAACAATGGAGTACATACAGTCCTTAATGAATTTGCTGACTGGAAACAGGTTTGATTTGTTATGAAGAGAAGGCAAAAGAGAACGTACGAGAAGGAACTGAGGAGCAATCGTGAATGTTCTGGGGGCTCCTAAGACAAAGCCTCAATGACAGTTGCTGTATCTTTGCAGGGTTTTTTATTTGCTCTACCCTGTTTTGCTTGCGCACACCAACAAGCAGCAGGGATTTAATGCACACAGCTTAATCTTAAAGCAAAATATAAAACGTACTCTACAAATACTCTTGTTGGAGAAGTTTCGCTCTGTTATGCGGTTCACAATGTTATGAAAAACGAGGAGCCTATGTGGTTTAACTTATCTTGGCCAGAGATTGTGATTCCAGATCAATTATGCAAAAATCCCCACCTCAAGAACAATAGTGTCAATAAAAATGTCATACAATAACCAAATAGCATTTTAATGTTCATAAAATGTGACTGTGATTATTAATGGATCATTTCTACAGGTGATGTTTATCTGCAGTATGTAAAGCCTGACAAAAGCAAGTAACAAAAGTAATTACAAACCTGAAAAAAATACAAAAAGACTTGAGTGTTGATTGCAAGTATCTACTCCCAAGAACCTTTAAACGCACCTTTTGTATTCTTAATGCGTTTGAGTCATAACATTTATCACAGCACTAGCTTAAGCAATGATGGATCAGGCCATATGGAGGGGTAACATCAAATGACTGGCTAAGTACTGAAGGAAAACAATAGGCTTGAGTGACCTGGATGAAGTCGCAGCATTGGCAAGGAAACCATATTCACATTCATGCTCATTGCTGTCCAACAATTTGTAAACATTAGTAAACTAACTTAAGTGTCTCTGCTCAAGTCATTGTCATAAATTTTGCTACAAAACAAAATTAAATGTAATATAGAAAAACAATACAATGCAAAATCCAGCTGTGCACATCTGCGTACTTGAAAAGACCTTTGGTGACCCAATGAGTTTCAGGGTTGTAAACAGTAATGCTAACAGTTTATAGCGGTTTATTCACATGAATGTAGAGATGGAATGATACCACTATTTGTTTCTTTGACTTGAATTAGTTCTTTTTTCGTCCCATCCAGCATTTTCTGCTGATATCAGCCTGATACAGATACCTGGTGTCACATTGGTTCCACTTTGATCCATACTGCTGCCTCTTTTACTCTTTGTTACGCCATTGTCCAGATTAAAAGTTTACCAAACTATGCTGCTGCTCAAAACTTAGTCAACTAATCTTACATGTTATGTCTGTTTGTCTGAAAATTGGCTGTTTTGTGTGATACTTCAGTTAACAGTTCTCAGAAGCACACAGGCCAGTAAGCACTGAGTTACAGATCCCACCTTTTGTCTTTTGAGGCTGACCTTGCATGTTTCTCCTTCCCCCTGCAGAACAAAGAGAAGGAGCGCATGAAGGAGCGAGAGAAGGAGGCGCGGGAGAGGGAGGCACGCTACAGTAATGGCCATCTCTTCACCTCCCTCACTGTATCAGCCACCACGCTCTGCTCAGCCTGCAACAGGAGCATCACTGCCAAGGAAGCACTCAGCTGCCCCAGTGAGTCTCACTCTTAAGCACACACATTAATAAGCCTCAGAAGGCCATTGATGACTCTTTACATGGCAAGGGTCCATTTGTGAATCCACACTTCAAGAGGAATTTCACCATTTTTTTAAATTTGTTGCATAATTAAGTAGTTATGATGTAACCAAAGTCATTCAGAGTGGTTTGATGTGAACTGCGCCATTCTGGAGAAACAGAATGGTTCACAGTGGTGGTTAGTGGAACCAGACATCCGAAGCATTAAATGACTACAAAAGCTAGCACAGAAAGTTATTACATGAAATGGTTATAAATACACTGCCTGGTGCTGAGGTCATTGTTTAATAAAAGCTTAATAAAGCTTTTAGCCTAAAAACATGCATTCATGCCAGAGAGGTGCATGCAGGGTGTTCTAAAGCAAAACAGAATATATATTTTTTCAGATCTACCACTGTTTTACCATCATTAATGTTACATAGAAAAGCTCAGAAGGCACGTGTAGGTTCACTGATTGTTTTGAGTAGTAAATAAAATGATGCTAGTAAATAAAATGATGCAGCACGCAGGCTGCAGTGTAATTCCCCCTCAAGTACCTCACTGACATACTATATACTTTACATGCTAGTTTCGTAGCAGTTACTGAGAAACAAGTCTTAAGGTTAATAAGAAACTAATAAGCTTACATTTTAAGGATTTAAAGTGTAGTATATAAAGTATAATATAGTTTATATGCCTCTCTGTTAAACAAAACAAAACAAAAGGCCCCCTTAGTGATTTATCAGCATCGCAGAAAAGTATGCCTTAACAAACTGAATAGCAGTTATTTGCTTTGCATTATTAACTGCCTATTGTTTAGACGTGGAGTGTGAGCCTCAGACTTTGCAGCCCCCACAATCTGCGCTAATGAAGTTTAGCTTCTATTGTAGTTGTTGGTGACACGTCAATAAAATGCATTTCTATAGCTTGCAGAAAAGCAAGTTAATGAGGTTGTTATCAAGCCGCAGTATAGTGAAGATTCTAGCGGTGTGAATTAATCAGTATGCTGACTGTGTTTGAGTGTATTGAGTTAATCAGCGATTTGCTGACTGTGTTCACACGCGGGCTGCAGGGGAATTCACAGCACAGGCAGGAGCTCTCCATGTGTGTCGAGTAGCCTGAGCAATTTATCATCTGATCTAGCCAGCAAAGCCCTTCTACCAGCCAAAGGAGAGTGCCAGAATTGTGCCTGTGCATGTGTGTGCAGTTTCAGGACAGAAATGTCCTGACTCTGTGGGAAAACCAGAGAAGAACATGGCTAACAGGGCAAAACTATATATATATATATATATATATATAATTTTGCCCTGTTAGCCATGTATATATATGTATATATATATAAACATATGGCCCTTACTATAGGTACTTACATAAATGTGTATGGGTGTATGGGTAGTACTACTATTACATATAGATACCTACACATATATAAATAGGACTATACATACAACATAAATAGGAAGATACATGCACATATGTCATACTTATGTATGTATGTATTACTTCATGTCCTGACATAGTGTATGTTTAAGGGAGTACAGAAGATAAGGGTGAGAGGGATAAACCCCTTCTGAATAAAATTTTTTAAACAAAACAGAGAAAGAAAGACAGATCAAAAGCGAAATAACAGCAGATGGAAAGAGAGCGAGACGTGTAGGGAGGAGAGCTCACTGCAGGGATATCTCCTGCAGCCTTCTCTACTCTCTCCTCCTTACCATCCCCCCATCTCTCTTTCGGCCCCCCTCCAAAATCAATCAGCTGCTGACTCCCGGCACCACCCCCACCCTCCTGTACCGCCCAGACAATAGCGTCAGTGTGTGTGGAGCGAGCCGAGCAGCCTCTCCACCAGGCCAGAGGAACAGCTGGGGGATAGAGGGAGAGAGAGACAGAGTAAACAAAGAGAGAGAGAGAGAGAGAGAGAGAGAGAAAGAGATGTCTAGGTGTAGCAGTGTGAAAATGCATCAAGGTGAAGGTGCTGAATTAACTGCAACAATTCTGGGATGTCAATTTATTTAGAAGAATAATATTTAATAAAATTTGGGTTTTTTTTGGCCAAAAGTAAAATTCTCAGGCGCTTTTCAAACAAAAATCTGAGATTATTGCTTGTTTTCCCACTAGATTCCCTTATTTTCAAAGGCAGCTTCATTCACCCTCATAGAACAGCACTTCCACTTCTTGGCTTTAATGTAAGGTATTATGATAAACATTGAATTAATACAGAATCTTTACATTGTGTGGAGATTTTTTAAACCTTAAGAAAATTTCTTCACCTCTCATTTAAGATAAGTGTCCTTTGAAAGGTTCTTAAGAAAAACAAAAGTGGTTGTTCTACGTCATCGCTCGAAAGAAGGAGCCTTTTTGGATCCTGAATAAAAAAAATAGAATCGAATTGAATCTCAGTGAAATGAGATTATGGTGCGTTTTATAACTTCGTGTGGTATCATATGGTGTCATTGTACACTGTAAAAAATTATGCAATTTTTTACTCAAGTAACTGAGTTACAAAGAAATACACTACTAGGTATTCTGTTAAAATTAGTTCAACAAGCTCAAAATTATAAATTAACCAGATTATTTACATTTTTAAGTTAAAATTTGGATTCATTCTTTTTTACAGAGGATCATAATCGAATTGTTGTGTAGAGAGAAAAATAGTTTGCACATTTAGTATGTTATCAGTGTATAAGTGCATCTGCTAAATGAATAAATGTAAACTGTAGTGGAGAGAGGAGAAAAAGAGTAGAAAGAGGGATGATTTATGGTCATGGAGGTGAGGACGCATCTTCTCACAGGCTGCTAGAAAGCCCTGCTGGCTGGTTCTTGTGTCCTTGTGACTGTGCTGAGATCAGCATCAGCTCTCCTATCTGACCTTGCGGAAAAATGAAAACAGCATCTGCACTCTCCAGCAGTAGTGCGGCTAATGGAGGACAATGAACATGAGTATTAATATCAGCTATATTAATTACAGTCACATCAGTCAGATCTCCACAGAGTTTAATGAAATATTAATGTTAATTAATGAATATATTATATATTAGTTTCCTTCAGTAGGGCAGATTTTGTGCATTTTCTTGGTTATCAGTCAGTCTCACACACAGCTGGTATTGATGCGAGTTATGTTTAAAGGGGATTTCCAGGTATGAAGTCATTCAGAGTGGTTTGATGTGAAATGGTTCATTGTAGAGAAACATACTGACTCATGTTTCTTTACAGTGGTGGTGAATGGAACCAGGGGTCATGATGTAAAACCACAAATTAACGTATATGTGTGTTCTAAGTATTTATATGTAATGTTGAAGTAGTGGTAAGTCTATAAAAGTTTTCTTTAGGGACTGTTTTGCTTTAGAACACCTTGCATGTACCTCTCCTTCAGGAATAGATTTAGAAAAAATCTGTTTTAGGCCAAGATCTTATCTAAAAATATAAAACAATCATAAAATAATGTCTCAGGCCTCAGCGTGTTCATAAATATTTCATGTAATAAGGGAGCTTTAAGTGGCATTGAACTTGTCTGCACTCCTAAAAAAAAAGATCTTCAACAGTTCTTTGGTAAAGACAATGGTTCTATACATACAAAGAACCCTTTGCATGCTTAAGGGGTTCTTTGCATCTTGAAATTGTTCTTCAGATTGATTTAGAATGTGTTGTATATGGTTCTGTATGGCAGATATAGATTCTATATCGCACCAAAAAGGTTCTTCTCTTGTTACGATATGGAGCTCTGCTGCTATGCAACACCCATTTCACAATGCATAGAACCCTTTAGGCGTGCAAATGATTCTTTGAGTGTTCATGGTTCTATACAGAACCAATGTCTTAACTAAAGAACCATTAAAGAAGCATAATTCTTCTTGGTTCTTATCATCACCACTGTGAACAGTTCTGACTTGTTCAATTTCTCAACAACAAAATATTTAACATCAAACTACTCTTCAACAAATTTTTTTTTTTTTTGGAAATTTTTTTGAGAATCATCAGAATTTCTCTCTAAACTGATTAAAACAGCAGCGGACAGTCCATTATGCCTAAGCTGATAGTAATAAATGCAGTGTTGAATGCACATTAAATGTGTTGTGACATAAGCCGTATGCATGTTGTGACGTTTCTGTCAAATGCATCGTGTCATGCTGTTACAGGCTGTTTCAGTGTTGTCAAGCTGAATGACAGTAACATGCACAAACAGTTAGAGACCAAAGTGATTTCCTGACCTATAATTGCATCCCAGGCAGAGTGGCAACTATCAAATCTGACAGTTTGATTGCTGTTTTACTAAAGTGGGAGAAAATCGCACTAAGTTTAGCCTTGAGAATTATGGAGCTATTATTGTCCTTCTGCTCTAATGTTTAATAATAAGTAATAATATACAGTCTTACGCAAGAAGTTTGAATACTCTATACAGGATACTTAAATATGATATATTTCTGCAAAGGTTAGTGTACATTATTAAATATTAAATGCACCATAACCTTTGCACAGCCCACATTTCTCCCCCCTGTATGTGAAATTCAGCAGGTTAACAGTCATTTTATGTAGATATGTAATGAATTTGACATATACATTTAGTATTTACATTCAATCTGCGCTCCTTACTTTTTTCATTTGTTTCAAGGTCACAACAAAACTGGCAAAAATACAAAGTGTTTTTTGTTCTGCAGAACAAGACAAATTATAATCATAATAAAATATCTCTTCTACTTACAGAAAGAGTAAAAATTTAGAATCTACACTTTTGACAGAAGTTCTCCACTTGTCTCAATGAGCTATGAGTGAGAAGTAATTAATATAAAATTACAGTTCGCCTGTATTATTGATAACTGTGACTTCTAAACCCCACCCAGTTTTCCATGTGTTAATGTAATACATTGCTTATTAGGTGTTAAATAAGCTGCCTGTTTTGCAGTGTGCTCTGCATTCACTTTGAGTTCAGTCTGCCCTCGTCACCTTGACATGTGGTGGTTTTGAAGTAGAGAGAGGGTGGG